GGTGTGTTGGTGGGTGTAGACTGGGTGTGTTGGTGGGTAGTCTGGATGTGTTGGTGGGTGTAGTCTGGGTGTGTTGGTGGGTGTAGTCTGGGTGTGTTGGTGGGTGTAGTCTGGGTGTGTTGGTGGGTGTGGAGCTGGGTGTGTTGGTGGAGTGTAGTCTGGGTGTGTTGGTGGGTGTAGACTGGGTGTGTTGGTGGGTGTAGTCTGGGTGTGTTGGTGGGTGTAGTCTGGAGTGTGTTGGTGGGTGGTCTGGAGTGTGTGTTGGTGGGTGTGGACTGGGTGTGTTGGTGGGTGTAGTCTGGGTGTGTTGGTGGGTGTAGTCTGGGTGTGTTGGTGGGTGTAGTCTGGGTGTGTTGGTGGGTGTAGTCTGGGTGTGTTGGTGGTGTAGACTGGGTGTGTTGGTGGGTGTAATCTGGGTGTGTTGGTGGGTGTAGACTGGGTGTGTTGGTGGGTGTAGTCTGGGTGTGTTGGTGGAGTGTAGTCTGGGTGTGTTGGTGGGTGTAGTCTGGGTGTGTTGGTGGGCGTAGTCTGGGTGTGTTGGTGGTGTAGTCTGGGTGTGTTGGTGGGTGTAGTCTGGATGTTGGTGGGTGTAGTCTGGGTGTGTTGGTGGGTGTAGTCTGGGTGTGTTGGTGGGTGTAGTCTGGGTGTGTTGGTGGGTGTAGTCTGGGTGGTTGGTGGGTGTAGTCTGGAGTGTGTTGGTGGGTGTGGTCTGGGTGTGTTGGTGGGTGTAGTCTGGGTGTGTTGGTGGGTGTAGACTGGGTGTGTTGGTGGAGTGTAGTCTGGGTGTGTTGGTGGGTGTAGACTGGGTGTGTTGGTGGGTGTAGTCTGGGTGTGTTGGTGGGTGTAGTCTGGGTGTGTTGGTGGGTGTAGTCTGGGTGTGTTGGTGGAGTGTAGACTGGGTGTGTTGGTGGGTGTAGTCTGGGTGTTTTAGTGGTGTAGTCTGGGTGTTTTGGTGGGTGTAGTCTGGGTGTGTTGGTGGGTGTAGATGGGTGTGTTGGTGGGTGTGATCTGGGTGTTTTGGTGGGTGTAGTCTGGGGTGTGTTGGTGGGTGTAGACTGGGTGTGTGTTAGTGGGTGTAGTCTGGGTGTGTTGGTGGGTGTAGTCTGGGTGTGTTGGTGGGTATGGAGCTGGGTGTGTTGGTGGGTGTAGTCTGGGTGTGTTGGTGGGTGTAGTCTGGGTGTGTTGGTGGGTGTGTGGGCTGGGTGTGTTGGTGGGTGTAGTCTGGGTGTTTGGTGGGTGTAGTCTGGGTGTTTTGGTGGGTGTAGTCTGGGTGTGTTGGTGGGTGTAGACTGGGTGTGTTGGTGGGCTGTAGTCTGGGTGTGTTGGTGGGTGTAGTCTGGGTGTGTGGTAGGTGTAGACTGGGTGTGTTGGTGGAGTGTAGTCTGGGTGTGTTGGTGGGTGTAATCTGGGTGTTTTGGTGGGTGTAGATCTGGGTGTGTTGGTGGGTGTAGTCTGGGGTGTGTTGGTGGAGTGTAGTCTGGGTGTGTTGGTGGGTGTAGACTGGGAGTGTTGGTGGGTGTAGTCTGGGTGTGTTGGTGGGTGTAGACTGGGTGTGTTGGTGGGTGTAGTCTGGGTGTGTTGGTGGGTGTAGTCTGGGTGTGTTGGTGGAGTGTAGACTGGGTGTGTTGGTGGAGTGTAGACTGGGTGTGTTGAGTGGGTGTAGTCTGGGTGTGTTGGTGGGTGTAGTCTGGGTGTGTTGGTGGGTGTAGACTGGGTGTGTTGATGGGTGTTAGCCAGAGGGTGTGTTGATGGGTGTAGCCGGGATGTAGACTAGGTTTGTTGGTGGGTGTAGACTGGGTGTGTTGATGGGTGTTAGCCAGGGGTGTGCTGAGTGAATGTAGACTGGGTGTGTTGGTGGGTGTAGACTGGGTGTGTTGATGGGTGTTAGCCGGGGTGTGTTGGTGGATGTAGACTGGGTGTGTTGGTGGGTGTGTAGACTGGGTGTGTTGGTGGGTGTAGTCTGGGTGTGTTGGTGGGTGTAGTCTGGGTGTGTTGGTGGGTGTAGACTGGAGTGTGTTGGTGGAGTTAGTCTGGGTGTGTTGGTGGGTGTAGTCTGGGTGTTTTGGTGGGTGTAGTCTGGGTGTGTTGGTGGGTGTAGTCTGGGTGTGTTGGTGGAGTGTAGTCTGGGTGTGTTGGTGGGTGTAGACTGGGAGTGTTGTTGGTGGGTGTAGTGTGGGTGTGTTGGTGGGTGTAGACTGGGTGTGTGTGTTGGTGGGTGTAGTCTGGGTGTGTTGGTGGGTGTAGTCTGGGTGTGTTGGTGGGTGTAGACTGGGTGTGTTGGTGGGTGTAGACTGGGTGTGTTGGTGGGTGTAGTCTATGGGTGTGTTGGTGGGTGTAGTCTGGGTGTGTTGGTGGGTGTAGACTGGGTGTGTTGATGGGTGTTAGCCGGGGTGTGTTGATAGATTGTAGCCGGGATGTAGACTAGGTTTGTTGTTGGTGGAGTGTAGACTGGGTGTGTTGATGGAGTGTTAGCCGGGGTGTGCTGGTGGATGTAGACTGGGTGTGTTGGTGGGTGTAGACTGGGTGTGTTGATGGGTGTTAGCCAGGGGTGTGTTGGTGGATGTAGACTGGGTGTGTTGGTGGGTGTAGACTGGGTGTGTTGGTGGGTGTGGCCGGGTGTGTTGGTGGGTGTATACCTAGAATGTTGGTGGGTAGACAGGGGTGTGTTGGTGGGTGTAGTCTGGGTGTGTGTTGGTGGGTGTAGACTGGGAATGTTGGTGGGTGTAGACTGGGTGTGTTGGTGGGTGTAGACTGGGAATGTTGGTGGGTGTAGACTGGGTGTGTTGGTGGGTGTAGACTGGGTGTGTTGGTGGGTGTAGACTGGGTGTGTTGGTGGGTGTAGCCAGGGGTGTGTTGGTGGGTGTAGTCTGGGTGTGTTGGTGGGTGTAGACTGGGAATGTTGGTGGGTGTAGACTGGGTGTGTTGGTGGGTGTAGACTGGGAATGTTGGTGGATGGAGCTGGGTGTGTTGATGGGTGTAGCCTGGGTGTGTTGATGGAGTGTAGCCAGGGGTGTGTTGGTGGGTGTGGCCAGGGGTGTATATCCCCATATCAGCAGGCAGACAACACCTGCAGCAATCGTGGACTAACACGACCACAACATACAGCGTTTTTTCTTTCTGATATAACTTTAACACACACCTCCCTCTCTCTCTCTCTCTCTCTCTCTCTCTCTCTCTCTCTCTCTCTCTCTCAAGCAAAGCAAATTTACCACACACACACACACACACACACACACACACACACACACACACACCACACACCACACACACACCCACACGCACATATACAGCCTTGCAAACACCCACACACACCGTTACCATACATAACCTTTCCCTCCTCAAAAAAGCACCATTTTCTAACACACACACACACACACACACACACACACACACACACACACCCACACACCGTAACTATCGTAAAAATGCTCAGAAAGTCTTAGCGATAATAAAAAATAACTTACAATATTTTTCTACGTAAAGAAGTTGTGGTTAAAAATGTTAATAGCGCAAGTAAAATATCTTACTATGATTTATGAGGTGTAGCAGCCCTGAGCAGGAAACTGATGGAATATTATTTTCATTTACTAAAAAAAATAATTAATCAAACGTCTTGTGAGGGGGAAATCGTAAGGTGATTTCTCATTAGTTAAAGCCGCTTTGGGGAACTTATTTTTGTATGATGAAAACCTCTTAGTTTTTTCTTTTACTCTGAATGTTTTTTTTTTAATCGGTTTTATGTATTAGTTGATGGTGTGAGGGTTGAGGAGACACAGAGCTTACCTCTTGGCGCTGGTTCGTGTACAGGGCACCCCAAGGTTCACCCAGCTGTAAACGGGTACCGAACGTTACAGTTGTTGGCAGTGAAAGAGGTCGGTTACAGTGGCGGGCTACGCTGTATCGTTATGTACCGAAGTCTTAGTTTACAGTAACAAGCCGTCAGACCTGTTGGAGGAGACACTATCACTTATGTACAGTCCCCTTCACTAGTCCGTTTACAGGGCTCCTCGTATAAACATTCCACAAATCATTATCTCTGGGGTATTTGTTTTAATATTGCTTTACTTTAATTCCACAGTGTGTTTACTAATGCTAGTTTCCTTCTGTCGATTATAAACAAACACAGGGTTGCCACACTGCACCGAACCTGACAAGCCACTGTAAACGCACTAGTGCAGGGGGACTGTACATGACAAAACCAAGTGATAAGTGTGTATGATATCTGTGTGTGTGTGTGTGTGTGTGTGTGTGTGTGTGTGTGTGTGTAAGGTGTATATGAATGCAAATTAATTTAACCTTAAAATAAACAACAAAACTTTCTGAACCACGAACCACAGTCCTGTTATCAATTTTACAACAGCAAACTTCAATTCACCATCCTGTGAGTCACGGAGTTGGTTGAACGAAGTGGTAATATTTCAGGCTAGTTACACACGCAAGCCAGTCTAACCTGATCACCCGCCAGCCACGACGTGAGTGTATTTACCCAGTGCTCGACAAACACGGCTCTGGGTGTTCATAGGAAGACTGTCAGTAGTGTTGATGTGATCTAGTCTTTCATCGTTCATGGTTTGGTAAATATGCTTCTAGTGGCTGGGGTGTCTGTCTGTCTCTACACGGTACGCTATCCTCCCCTCTCCTCCCCAACACCCATTACCCCCCCTCTCTCCCCCACACTACCCCCCTCTCTCCTCAACACACTATTCTCCCCTCTCCCTCCCCAACACACTATTCTCCCCTCGCCCTCCCCAACACACTATCCTCCGCTCTCCCCAACACACTATCCTCGCCTCTCTTCAACACATTATCCTCCCCTCTCCTTTACACATTATCCTTCCCTCTCCCCAACACACTATTCTCCCCTCTCCCTCCCCAACACACTATCCTCCCCTCTCCCCCCACACTACCTTCTCACAACACCGTACTGTTAATGCACCTTAAGCTTAGACCATCACAGTATCTCAAACATGACTGTTTTTCAATGCATAAGCGGCTTAACCATGGGTGTATCTGCCCTGGCCAGCTGTGTAGGAGTGTATTTGGGGAGGGGGGTTTACCTACACCTTCTGGCGGGGTGTAGAGAGCATGTGGAGGAGAGAGAGTTTAATATAAGCTTGAAGTTGCTTGTGTATTGCGGAAAATTTGAAGGTAGAGTGTGTTGTTGTCCAGGTAGAGTGTGTTGTTGTCCAGGTAGAGTGTGTTGTTGTCCAGGTAGAGTGTGTTGTTGTCCAGGTAGGGTGTGTTGTTGTCCAGGTAGAGTGTGTTGTTGTCCAGGTAGGGTGTGTTGTTGTCCAGGTAGAGTGTGTTGTTGTCCAGGTAGGGTGTGTTGTTGTCCAGGTAGAGTGTGTTGTTGTCCAGGTAGGGTGTGTTGTTGTCCAGGTAGAGTGTGTCCAGGTAGAGTGTGTTGTTGTCAGGTAGGTGTCATTGTTGTCCAGGTAGAGTGTGTGTTGTTGTCAGGTAGAGTGTGTGTTGTTGTCAGGTAGAGTGTGTTGTTGTCCAGGTAGAGTGTGTTGTTGTCAGGTAGAGTGTGTTGTTGTCAGGTAGAGTGTGTTGTTGTTGGGTAGAGTGTGTTGTTGTCCAGGTAGAGTGTGTTGTTGTCAGGTAGGTGTGTTGTTGTCGGGTAGGGGTGTGTTGTCCAGGTGGGAGTGTGTTGTTGTCCAGGTAGGGTGTGTTGTTGTCCCAGGTAGAGTGTGTTGTTGTCAGGTAGAGTGTGTTGTTGTCCAGGTAGAGTGTGTGTTGTTGTCAGGTAGAGTGTGTTGTTGTCAGGTAGGGAGTGTGTTTAATTTGTCCAGGTAGAGTGTGTTGTTGTCCAGGTAGAGGTATGTTGTTGTCAGGTAGAGTGTGTTGTTGTCCAGGTAGAGTGTGTTGTTGTCCAGGTAGGGTGTGTTGTTGTCCAGGTAGAGTGTGTTGTTGTCCAGGTAGAGTGTGTTGTTGTCCAGGTAGGGTGTGTTGTTGTCCAGGTAGAGTGTGTTGTTGTCCAGGTAGAGTGTGTTGTTGTTTGTCCCATCCAGTCTACAAATCATCTTAACATAAACAAAACCTAACCTAACCTAATCTAAGCTAAGCTATCCTATCCTAACCTAACCAACCTGACCTAAAAATCAAAACCTAACCAACAAACCTAACCTAACCAAACAAAACCTAACCAAACAAAACCAAACAAAACCTAACCTAACCAAACCTAACCAAACAAAACCTAACCTAACCAAACCAAACCAAACACAACACAACCAAACCTAACCTAGCAAACCTAACCTAACCTAACCAAACAAAAACCTAACCTAGCAAACCAAAACCTAACCAAACAAAACCTAACCTAACCAAAACCTAACCAAACCTAACCAAACAAAACCTAACCAAACAAAACCTAACCATTCCAATTTTTTCCATTTCATTTTCGTTCAATTTTTACCTCGATAACAACCTCTTCTGGACAGCTTGAAGAATTCCTCACAGCAAAATTAGGTTCATTGTCGCTACACTGATAAGAAAACGGCGCTCATATAATGTATATTTTTACACTGATGTATATTTACTATAACAGGTTTATATTATAATACTCTGTACTACTTACTTGATTTAATTCTCATCTGTATTCATATATTATTACTATACTGTACTGTATATATATAATGATTGTACCGTTATATGACGATACTCAGACATAACGATACTCAGACATAACGATACTCAGACATAACGATACTCAGACATAACGATACTCAGACATAACGATACTCAGACATAACGATACTCCAGACATAACGATACTCAGACATAACAATACTCAGACATAACGTACCGACATAACGTCTCCAGACATAACGATACTCCACGACATAACGGTACTCAGACATAACGATACTCAGACATAACGATACTCCAGACATAACTGTACTCAGACATAACGATACTCAGACATAACGATACTCCAGACATAACGATACTCAGACATAACGATACTCAGACATAACGATACTCAGACATAACGATACTCAGACATAACGATACTCCAGACATAACGATATAGACATAACGATACTCAGACATAACTGTACTCAGACATAACGATACTCAGACATAACAATACTCAGACATAACGATACTCAGACATAACGATACTCAGACATAACGATACTCGAACATAACAATACTCAAACATAACGATACTCAGACATAACGATACTCCAGACATAACAATACTCAGACATGAATACTCAGACATAACGATACTCAGACATAACGATACTCCAGACATAACGATACTCAGACATAACGATACTCAGACATAACGATACTCCAGACATAACGTACTCAGACATAACGATACTCAGACATAACAATACTCCAGACATAACGATACTCAGACATAACGATACTCAGACATAACGATACTCAGACATAACAATACTCAGACATAACGATACTCCAGACATAACGATACTCAGACATAACGATACTCAGACATAACGATACTCAGACATAACGATACTCAGACATAACGATACTCAGACATAACGATACTCCAGACATAACGATACTCCAGACATAACGTACTCAGACATAACTACTCCAGACATAACGATACTCAGACATAACAATACTCCAGACATAACGATACTCAAGACATAACGATACTCAGACATAACGATACTCAGACATAACAATACTCCAGACATAACGATACTCAGACATAACGATACTCAGACATAACAATACTCAGACATAACAATACTCAGACATAACGATACTCAGACATAACGATACTCAGACATAACGATACTCAGACATACGGTACTCAGACATAACGATACTCAGACATAACGATACTCAGACATAACAATACTCCAGACATAACGATACTCAGACATAACGATACTCGGACATAACGATACTCAACATAACAATACTCAGACATAACGATACTCAGACATAACGATACTCCAGACATAACGATATAGACATAACGATACTCAGACATAACAATACTCAGACATAACAATGCCAGACATCTCCAGACATAACGATACTCAGACATAACGATACTCAGACATAACGATACTCAGACATAACGATACTCAGACATAACAATACTCAGACATAACGATACTCAGACATAACGATACTCAGACATAACGGTACTCAGACATAACGATACTCCAGACATAACGATACTCGACATAACAATACTCAGACATAACGATACTCACACATAACGATACTCACATAACGATACTCAGACATAACAATACTCAGACATAACGGTACTCAGACATAACATACTCAGACATAACGATACTCAGACATAACAATACTCAGACATAACGATACTCAGACATAACAATACTCAGACATAACGATACTCACATAACGATACTCAGACATAACAATACTCAGACATAACGATACTCAGACACTAACGATACTCAGACATAACGATACTCAGACATAACGGTACTCAGACATAACAATACTCAGACATAACGGTACTCAGACATAACAATACTCAGACATAACGGTACTCAGACATAACGTCTCAGACCTTGGTACTCAGACATAACGATACTCACACATAACGATACTCAGACATAACGATACTCAGACATAACGATACTCAGACATAACGATACTCAGACATAACGGGTACCCACCACCTCACCTGATAAATATAATAGTTCACCTGACTATATAAAGTGTTTGACCACCACACCTTGTTCCTACAGGGAGAGTGCGGCTGTAGTTACCAGTGTGTACGGCTGGACGAGTATCTCCACAAGTACGAGTGTGTGTGTGACGACAACTGGAGGGTTGACGAGGATGGTCATACCTGCGTCCGTACGTATTGTTATCTTTAGTAAACTACTGTGTGTATGTCATGATCTGCCTCCATCGTCCGTAAGTACTGTATGTGTCCGTAGTTTCCTCCATCGTCCGTAAGTACTGTATGTGTGTCCGTAGTCTGCCTCCATCGTCCGTAAGTACTGTATGTGTGTCCGTAGTCTGCCCTCCATCGTCCGTAAGTACTGTATGTGTGTCCGTAGTCTGCCTCCATCGTCCGTAAGTACTGTATGTGTGTCGTAGTCTGCCTCCATCGTCCGTAAGTACTGTATGTGTGTCCGTAATCTGCCTCCATCGTCCGTAAGTACTGTATGTGTGTCCGTAGTCTGCCTCCGTCGTCCGTAAGTACTGTATGTGTGTCGTAGTCTGCCCCAACGTCATAGTACTGTATGTGTGTCCGTAGTCTGCCTCAACGTCCGTAAGTACTGTGTATGTCCGTAGTCTGCCCATCGTCCGTAAGTACTGTATGTGTGTCCGTAGTTTGCCTCCATCGTCCGTAAGTACTGTATGTGTGTCCGTAGTCTGCTCCATCGTCCGTAAGTACTGTATGTGTGTCCGTAGTCTGCCTCCATCGTCCGTAAGTACTGTATGTGTGTCCGTAGTCTGCCTCCATCGTCGTAAGTACTGTATGTGTGTCCGTAGTCTGCCTCCATCGTCCGTAAGTACTGTATGTGTGTCCGTAGTTTCCCTCCATCGTCCGTAAGTACTGTATGTGTGTGTCCGTAGTCTGCCCCCATCGTCCGTAAGTACTGTATGTGTGTCCGTCGGATTTCCTCCATCGTCCGTAAGTACTGTATGTGTGTCCGTAGTCTGCCTCCATCGTCCGTAAGTACTGTATGTGTGTCCGTAGTCTGCCTCCATCGTCCGTAAGTATTGTATGTGTATGTCCGTAGTCTGCCTCCATCGTCCGTAAGTACTGTATGTGTGTCCTTAGTCTGCCTCCATCGTCCGTAAGTACTGTATGTATGTCGTAGTCTGCCTCCAACGTCCGTAAGTACTGTATGTGTGTCCGTAGTCTGCCTCCATCGTCCGTAAGTACTGTATGTGTGTCGTAGTCTGCCTCCATCGTCCGTAAGTACTGTATGTGTGTCCGTAGTCTGCCTCCATCGTCCGTAAGTACTGTATGTGTGTGTCCGTAGTCTGCCTCCATCGTCCGTAAGTACTGTATGTGTGTCCGTAGTCTGCCTCCATCGTCCGTAAGTACTGTATGTGTGTCCGTAGTCTGCCTCCATCGTCCGTAAGTACTGTATGTGTGTCATAGTCTGCCTCCATCGTCCGTAAGTACTGTGTGTGTCCGTAGTCTGCCTCCATCGTCCGTAAGTACTGTATGTGTGTCCGTAGTCTGCCTCCATCGTCCGTAGTACTGTATGTGTCCGTAGTCTGCCTCCATCGTCCGTAAGTACTGTATGTGTGTCCGTAGTCTGCCTCCATCGTCCGTAAGTACTGTATGTGTGTCCGTAGTCTGCCTCCATCGTCCGTAAAGTACTGTATGTGTGTCCGTAGTTTCCTCCATCGTCCGTAAGTACTGTATGTGTGTCCATAGTCTGCCCCCATCGTCCGTAAGTACTGTATGTGTGTCGTAGTTTCCCTCCATCGTCCGTAAGTACTGTATGTGTGTCCGTAGTCTGCCTCCATCGTCCGTAAGTACTGTATGTGTGTCGTAGTCTGCCTCCATCGTCCGTAAGTACTGTATGTGTCCGTAGTTCTGCCTCCATCGTCCGTAAGTACTGTATGTGTGTCCGTAGTCTGCCTCCATCGTCCGTAAGTACTGTATGTGTGTCCGTAGTCTGCCTCCAACGTCATGCCCTGAATTCCCTCTAAATAATGTTCTTTCGTTATCTCTTAAGTCTAAACTATGAAATAAGCGAGTTTTGTAGGAGACATCTTCACTACATAAGTCTCCTGTGAATAAGACTTGTTTGTGACCTGTTTTATACGTGTATGTGTTAAGGAATGGCGTCAAATTTTCCTGCTCTACCTATTGCGGTTCCTTTTCTTTTCCCCTATCTCCCTCCCCCCTCCTCCCATCTCTCCCCACCCCGATTCTCCTCCCCGATCATCTCTCTCCCCATCCTTTCCCTCATCTCTCTCCTTTCCCAGCTCCCTCCCTCTCCCCAGTTCCCTCCCTCTCCCCAGTTCCCTCCCTCTCCCCAGTTCCCCTCTCCCCAGTTCCCTCCCTCTCCCAGTTCCCTCCCTCTCCCCAGCTCCCTCTCCCCAGTTCCCTCCCTCTCCCCCAGTTCCCTCCCCTCTCCCCCAGTTCCTCCCTCTCCCCAGTTCCCTCCCTCTCCCCAGTTCCTCCCTCTCCCAGTTCCTCCCTCTCCCCAGTTCCCTCCCTCTCCCCAGTTCCCTCCCTCTCCCCAGTTCCTCCCTCTCCCCAGTTCCCTCCCTCTCCCCAGTTCCCTCCCTCTCCCCAGTTCCCTCCCTCCCCAGTTCCCTCCCTCTCCCCAGTTCCCTCCCTCTCCCCAGTTCCTCCCTCTCCCCAGTTCCTCCCTCCCCAGTTCCTCCCTCTCCCCAGTTCCCTCCCTCTCCCCAGTTCCCTCCCTCTCCCCAGTTCCCTCCTCTCCCCAGTTCCCTCCCTCTCCCCAGTTCCCTCCCTCCCCAGTTCCTCCCTCTCCCCAGTTCCTCCCTCTCCCCAGTTCCTCCCTCCCCAGTTCCTCCCTCTCCCAGTTCCCTCCCTCTCCCAGTTCCTCCCTCTCCCCAGTTCCTCCTTTCCCCAGTTCCCTCCCTCTCCCCAGTTCCCTCCCTCTCTCCCAGTTCCTCCCTCTCCCCAGTTCCCTCCCTCTCCCCAGTTCCCTCCCTCTCCCCAGTTCCCTCTTCCCCCAGTTCCCTCCCTCTCCCAATTCCCTCCCTCTCCCCAGTTCCCTCCCCCCACCTCCCTCCCCACCTCCCTCCCCCAGTTCCTCCCTCTCCCCAGTTCCTCCCTCTCCCCAGTTCCCTCCTCTCCCAGTTCCCTCCCTCTCCCCAGTTCCCTCCCTCTCCCCAGTTCCCTCCCTCCCCCAGTTCCCTCCCTCTCCCCAGTTCCTCCCTCTCCCCAGTTCCCTCCCTCTCCCCCAGTTCCTCCCTCTCCCCAGTTCCCTCCTCTCCCCAGTTCCTCCCTCTCCCCAGTTCCCTCCCTTTCCCCAGTTCCTCCCTCTCCCAGTTCTCCCTCTCCCCAGTTCCTCCCTCCCCCAGTTCCTCCCTCTCCCCAGTTCCTCCCTCCCCAGTTCCCTCCCTCTCCCCAGTTCCCTCCCTCTCCCCAGTTCCCTCCCTCTCCCCAGTTCCTCCCTCTCCCCAGTTCCTCCCTCTCCCCAGTTCCTCCTCTCCCCCAGTCCTCCCTCTCCCCAGTTCCTCCCCCCAGTTCTCCCTCCCCCAGTTCCTCCCTCTCCCCAGTTCCCTCCCTCTCCCCAGTTCCTCCCTCCCCCTCTCCCCAGTTCCTCCTCTCCCCAGTTCCTCCCTCTCCCCAGTTCCCTCCCTCTCCCCCACCTACTGTGTACATGAGGCAATTTACTAGTTATAAAAGACATATTTTTACATACGAGGAGAAAATGCTCACTCATAACCTAGCACATTTTATATCACGTTATGGCCTTGATGACTGTACTTTTTATGAATTCATTTAGTGTGTGTGTGTGTGTGTGTGTGTGTGTGTGTGTGTGTGTGTGTGTGTGTGTGTGTGTGTGTGTTGTTAACCCTCACTCTGGGTGGATGAGGCAAAACAAGAGTCCAGAAATAAAAAAAAGTTTTCCATTATGTCGGCAGCGTGTGTGTGTGGGACGGCTCCTAGACGTAGGAATATTTGACTAGCAATTAACTCTGAGCTCCTCTGCCTTGTGATGATGGAAACTGGATGATGTTTTGGTGATTTTGAGAGTAGTTATGCTTGTTTAGTGTGTTGTTTAACTTTTGAGTGTTAGAAGGAAGGTTAGGTTAGGTTAGTCCTCAACAACTGCTATTTACCAACTTGACACACACACACACACACACACACACACACACACACACACACACACACACACGGCATTAAAGTTTTTACAAGTTTTGATTACCTGAGACTATATCAGTAGTTGCCATAACTCTAACCTCCTTCACCTCCTTCCCTCCCTCCTTCCATCCTTCCCTCCTTCCATCCTCCCCCTATCGCACCACACCTACCCTCACCCCTTACCTGTGCTCGGCGAAAACTGAGACGACAGGTACAGATAAAAAGATCTAACCAGGTTTGTGGGTAGGTTAGGTTACTCCTCCCCATAGCCATCCCCTCAACCGCCACCCTACCTCTACTACGCCCTCAACCCTACCCCTACCCCCACTCCCCATCCCATAACTCACTCTACCTCTACCCCCACTCCACCCATAACCCCCACCCCAACCCCCACCCCATAACCCCACCCCACAACCCTACACCCCTACCTCCTATCCCCCCACTCCACCCCTACCCCGTATCGTTTTCTGTTATACGGAAATTAGATGTCAGTCAGGAATTCAACAAGAAAATAACATGTCCAGACCAATACCTAACCTCCCCCCCCCCTCCTCCCATTCTGCCTGACGTTCTAGCTGACGTTTTGTTATACTGCACTACCTGGCTCTGACGTTTGTTATAATTATCGGGAGTGACTATTATTATTGTTATTATTATTATTATTATTATTGTTATTATTATTTCTACCTTTGGCATTCTTATCATGACCTACTGATGACCTTCCTAACCTACCATGAACTTTGACCTTCCTAACATGACCTACTTCTGACCTTCTTAACCTAACCTAACTTAATATGACCTCTGACTTTTCCAAACCAAACATGACCTTTGACCTTACTAACATGACCTACTTCTGACTTTTCTAACTTAACCTAATATGACCTCTGACCTTCCTAACCTAACATGACCTACTTATAACTTTCTTAACTTAACCTAATATGACCTCTGACTTTCCTAACCTAACATGACCTTTGACCTACCTAACATGACCTATGAACTTCCTAACATGACCTACTTCTAACTTTCCTAACTTAACCTAATATGACCTCTGACCTTCCTAACCTAACATGACTTACTTACGACTTTCCTAACTTAACCTAATATGACCTCTGATCTTCCTAACCTACCATGACATTTGACCTTCTAACATGACCTACCTCTGACCTTCCTAACTTAACCTTATATGACCTCTGACCTTCCTAACCTAACATGACTTACTTACGACTTTCTAACTTAACCTAATATGACCTCTGATCTTCCTAACCTACCATGACATTTGACCTTCCTAACATGACTTACTTCTGACCTTCCTAACTTAACCTAATATGACCTCTGATCTTCCTAACCTACCATGACATTTGACCTTCCTAACACGACCTACCTCTGACCTTCCTAACTTAACCTAATATGACCTCTGACCTTCCTAACCTTCCATGACCCTTGACCTTCCTAACATGACCTCTCTTTTCATTCAGTAGATAACAGCGTGGCGTACCCCCAGACCATCTATCTCTTCGTCATCATTATAGGCATCCTGCTGGTCATCTTTATCTCTGCCACGTCCATCTGTTGCTGTGAGTATGACCACACACTTGTATTGTTAATGGTCAGTGGTAGTAGTAGTTAAGGGTTGGTGGTGATGGTGGTTGGTGGTAATAATTGGTTAGTGGTGGTTAGTGGTGGTGGTAGTTAGTTTGGGGTACTCATTTATTTCTCTCTTTCTTATAAATAAAGACACGTGATTTTTATTTTATTTTTCATGGTATTGTTGTTAATGTTATTGTCGTTATTGTTATTATTATTGTCATTGTTATTGTCTTTGATACTATTGTTTTTGTTATTGTTTTTGTTATTGTCGTTGTTGTTATTATTATTATTATTATTATTATTATTATTATTATTATTATTATTATTATTATTATTATTATTGTTGTTGTTGTTGTTTTCTTACATTTCCTTCTGCTGGACATTAATCAGTGTTCCTTGTTGGCGTCACAGACAACCGCTACCAGAAGAAGAAGTTTGACCAGATCAGACGAGAGATCTTCAGCGGCGGACCAGAGATGCAGCTCAACCGACTGAGGAACGAGGGCGGGATGGTGACCGAGTATAACCCTAACTACGAGTTCGGTGGAGGGACCTGCTATAAAAAGGACCTCAAGGAGATACCCAGAGAGAACCTCACCCTCGTCAAGTGAGTACCAGCATCCTACACTCCCGCATCCTACACTCCCACATCTACACTCGCATCCTACCCCACATCTACTCCCGCATCTCCACACTCCCACTCCTTACCTCCCACATCCCTACCTCCCGCATCCTACCTCCCATCCTACACTCCCACATCCTACACTCCCACATCCTACACTCCCGCATCCTTACACTCCCACATCTATACTCCCATCTACACTCCCCAATCCTACACTCCCACATCCTTACTCCACATCCTACCTCCATCCTACCTCCCACATCCTACCTCCCGCATCCTACACTCCCATCCTTACACTCCCACATCCCTCTCTCCCATCCCTACACCACATCCTCACTCCCACATCCTACACTCACATCCCTACACTCCCACATCCTACACTCCCCATCCTACCTCCACATCCCTACACTCCCACATCCTACACTCCCACATCCTTACCTCCCACATCCTACACTCACATCCCTACACTCCCATCCTACACTCCCGCATCCCTACACTCCCGCATCCTTCCCACACTCCCATCCCTACACTCCCATCCTACACTCACATCCCCTACTCCCATCCCTACACTCCCATCCTACCTCCACATCCTACACTCCCACATCCCCTACACTCCCTCTACACTCCCGCATCCTACACTCCCGCATCCTACACTCCCATCTCTCCCATCCTACACTCCCATCCTACACTCCCCATCCTCCCATCCCACCCTACATCCTCCCACATCCTACCTCCGTCTCCTCCCCGCATCCTACCTCCCATCCTACACTCCCACATCCCCTCCCACATCTATACTCCCTCCCTCACCTCCCATCCCTACACTCACATCCTACACTCCCCGCATCCTATCCCACATCCCTACACACTCCCATCCCTCCCACATCCTTACCTCCCATCCCTACACTACCCTACCTCCCACATCCTACACTCCCACATCCTTACTCCCACATCTCACTCCCCATCCCTACCTCCCATCCTACACTCACACATCCCTCCCCATCTCCCATCCTACACTCCCACATCCCTACTCCCATCCCTACACTCCCACATCCCTACCTCCCACATCCTTACCTCCCATCCCTACACTCCCACATCCCTACACTCACATCCCCTACACTCCCATCCTTACCTCCCACATCCTCACATCCTACCTCCCCACATCCTACACTCCACATCCTCCCTACATCCCTATACTCCCGCATCCCTACACTCCCACATCCTACACTCCCACATCTACCTCCCCGCATCCTACACTCCCCACATCCCTCACTCACATCCTCACACTCCCACATCTCCCCTCCCCACATCCTTACACTCCCATCCCTATACTCCCACATCCTATACTCCCCATCCCTACCTCCCACCACCCTCCACCTCCTACACTCCCGCATCCCTACCTCCCACATCCTACACTCACATCCCTACACTCCCGCATCCTACCTCCCATCCCTACCTCCCATCCTACCTCCCATCCCTACACTCCCCATCCTACCTCCCACTCCCCCTCCCATCCTTACTCCACATCCTACACTCCCACATCTCCTCCCACATCTACACTCACATCTACTCCCACATCCCTACACTCACATCCCTCTCCCACATCCTACACTCCCATCCCTACACCTCCCACATCCCTATCCCACATCCTCACTCCCACATCCTACACTCCCATCCTACACTCCCATCCCTACACTCCCGCATCCTACACTCCCGCATCCTTACCTCCCACATCCTACACTCCCATCCTATACTCCCATCCTACACTCCCACATCTATACTCCCACATCCTACACTCCCACATCCTACACTCCCACATCCTACACTCCCTCCCTACACTCACATCCTACACTCCCATCCTACACTCCATCTCCTCCCCATCCTACACTCCCACATCCTACACTCCCATCCTACACTCCCACATCCTACACTCCCATCCTACCTCCCACACACATCCCTCTCACATCCCTACACTCCACATCCTACCTCCCATCCTACACTCCCACATCTACTCCCACATCCTCCCCACATCCTACACTCCCCATCCCTACACTCCCCATCTACCTCCCCATCTCTCTCCACATCTCCTCCCCATCCTATACATCCTCCACATCCCTACATCATCCTACCTCCCACATCCCTACACTCCCGCATCCTACCTCCCACATCCTACACTCCCACATCCTACACTCCCGCATCCCTACACTCCCACATCCTTACCTCCCCACATCTCCTCCCCATCCCTACACTCCCCACATCCTACACTCCCACATCCTACCTCCCCACATCCCTACACTCCCACATCCCCTCCCGCATCTCCCCCTCCCACATCTACACTCCCATCCTTACCTCCCATCTCCCTCCCCACATCCTACACTCCCCCACATCCCCTACTCCCGCATCTACACTCCCTACATCTATACCCATCCTACACTCACATCCTACACTCCCATCCCACACTCCACATCCTACACTCCCACATCCTTCCCTCCCATCCTACCTCCCACATCTACCTCACATCCTACCTCCCATCTTACACTCCCCCTCCCTACCTCCCCCATCCCTCCCCACATCCCTACTCCCCACATCCTACTCTCCACATCCCTACTCCCACATCCTACACTCCTTAAAGAGATAAATCATTGTTTTCTTGGGGTTAGTCTTCGTTCTCAAGGTTAAGTCTTCTCTCAAGAGGTTAAGTCTTCGTACTCAAGTTAAATCTTCGTACTCAAGAGGTTAAGTCTTTGTACTCAAAGTTTAAGTCTTCGTGCTCAAGGGTTAAGTCTTCGTACTCAGGGTTAAGTCTTCGTACTCAAGAGTTAAGTCTTCGTACTCAGGGTTAAGACTTCGTACTCAGGGGTTAATTCATCATATACAAAGTCCATGGTTGGTGAGCGGGGCGCCCCAAGTCGACCCTGTTGATGGGTAAATGATATAGTGAAGATGATAATATTTATGGTCATTGTTTCTCTCTCAGGACAATATATATATATATATATATATATATATATATATATATATATATATATATATATATATATATATATATATATATATATATATATATATATATATAACTTATAACATTAAAACCATTATTATGTAGGTTTTAATTTGTATAGGAATGTGTATGTGTTTGATGTATATGATTATGTATATGTTTAATGTATATATATATAACTTATATATATAATTCACTGTCCGGGGTTAACCAAGATGGCGGTTCTGAGTATTTCCCAGCATGCCTTGTGGTAAACAGACGGACGGCACCGGGACACATCGTGTTATGTTGTCGAGGCTCCGTCCTTTGTGGGGGAGCACAATCATAACCACACAAATGTTTAGTCAGAACAGGTACAGTGTGTGTGTGTGGAGGTGGTGTGTGGAGAGTGTTGGTGTGGGTGGAGGAGGTGTTGGTTGTGGGTGTGTGGGAGGAGAATGGTGTGTGGGGGTGTGGGAGAGGAGAGTTGGTGTGTGGGTGGGAAGGAAGGGTGTGTGGGTGTGTGGGAGAGGTGTTAGTGTGTGGGGTGGGAGGGAGGTGGGCAGTGTGTGGGGGGTGTGGGAGAAGAGTGGTGTGTGGGTGTGTGGGAAGGTGTTGAGTGTGTGGTGTGTGGGAGGAGGTTTGGTGTGTGGGGGGTGTGGGGAAGGTGTGTTGGTGTGTGGGGTGTGGGAGGAGGTGTGGTGTGTGGGGAGGGTGTTGGTGTGTGTGGGGTATGGAGGAAGGGTGTTGGTGTGTGGAGTGTGTGAAAGGAGGTGTTGGGGTGTGTGGGTGTGTGTGGGAGGAGGGTGGAAGGTGGGGTGGAGGAGGGGCAGTGTATGGGTGGGAGGAGGAGTGTTTGTGTGTGGGTGTGTGGGAAGAGGGTGTTGGTGTGTGGGGGTATGGGAGAGGTGTTGGTGTGTGGGGAGGAGGTGTTGGTGTGTGGGGGTGTGGGAGGAGTGTTGGTGTGTGGTGTGTGAGGAGAGGTGGGGTGTGTGGGTGTGTGAGGAGGGGGTGTGTGGGAGGAGAGGGTGTGTGGGAGGGTGTGGGAGAGGTGTGTGGGGAGGTTGGGTGGGGAGGAGGTGCTGGTGTATGGGTGGGAGGAGGGTGTTTGTGTGTGGGTGTGTGGGTGGGATGAGGGTGTTGGTGTTTGGGGGTGTGTGTGGGCAGGAGGTGTTTGTGTGTGTGTGGTAGGTGGTGACAGTCTTTGTGTGTGTGTGTGTGTGTGTGTGTGTGTGTATATGTATATCTGTGTCTGTCTGTCTGTTCCTCCCTCGTCTACAACAGCTTTGGAAAAATGGACGAGATTCTCCGGCAATATAAAGTGGCCGCTGCCGGTCGATACATCAGGGAGGAAAATATGTTGCGTTATCATGGTGAGTGTGGCAAATGTGGTGGTGTGGTGATATGTGGTGGTGGTATGGTGATGGTGGTGTGGTGATAAGTGATGTGGTGTGGTGTGTTGGTGTGTGGTGGGATAAATGTGGTGGTGATGGTAATAAGTGAGGTGGTGAGATCGTGGTGGTATGGTGAAGGTGGTGGTTATGATGGGAGGTGATGGTGTGGTGAAAGGTGTGGTGGTGTATGTTGGATGTGGTGGTGATTGTGTGGTGATAGTGGTAGTGTTGGTCGTGGCAGTGTGATGACATTGCTGATGAGGATAATAACATGATGATGATGATGATGATGATGATGATACTACTTATGATAATGGTGATGACCAGGCAGCGACAAAATGGCGTCAGAATCCCCCTGAGACTATACATCAACTAAATAATATCTCTCTCCCTCTCCCCTTCACCTCCTCCCCACAAGGAACACAAGGTTATATGAGATATTATCGTAAGACACACAGTGACTCTCGACTCAGTCTGGTATTGACGTGTTAGGCCAGAGGAAGGAAGGAAGGTATCTCTCTCTCTGATGGCTGTACCTTACTGCCGCCCGCCTACCCTAATGTACGGTGTGTGTGTGTGTGTCCAACACTAGAGACATCTGCTGGGTAAAAGGT